CGGTGAAAATAATTTGTCCTCACTTGGCGGAGAAAGTGGGCAAGGGGAGGGTTGCCGGTCCCTTGCGCCGCCAAGAAGGAAGGAAAGAGACACTTGAGGGATTGAGAGGAGCCGGGTCCGGAAAAGGGCTAGACGAAGTTGGTGCTTGAAGCAAGGTCAGTTGACTCAACCATTTCCCTGACTGCATGACTATGAGAAGAGGATGGACTGATTGAGCAAAGGAAGGAGAATAAAGAGAAGCCAAAGAAAAAGAAAGTTAGGCATGCGAAAAGGGCTATTTGTTGACCGCGATGGGGGGATTGTATCGGTGTTTTGCCTTTGTGTGGGATTCTGCAGGTGAGTAAGTCTGGGGATGCCTTGAGCGGGACCAGGCCGGGGAAGCGGGGCGACAAAGAAAAAAAGGGAAGAGGGGGCAAAAGGACTAAGGGGCCCTTAGTGTAAAACCGACCCATGAAAAAACCTTTGTGTATGAGACTTGGAGTGAGACCTTTGCTGATCGGAATGTAAGGTAGCATGTGTATGAGTGTGAAGGCCCTGAAAGGACTAAGGGGCCTGCTCCAATAACGATGGATGGAATGTATGAGACACGAAGGGCGCGCAGAGGCGAGGGGGAAGACGGCGTTCCCGCACCCCGATGATGTTGTAGGATTGTGGTGTTTAGGGAAATGGTGCGTGGCCTAAGGATGACGCTTAGCCTGCGCACAAAAGAAGAAGAACTCTCGAAAAACCCCTGGACTGCCTGCGTATTGGAAGGAGCATTTGCTTGAGAACACGACCAAGAAAAAAAAAAATCAGCATTTGTGGAATGACCAGCGAGACTGCCACCCGACGCGAGGGCTGAGCTACATCCCCAATGTCAAAGCTCTCTCGCTCGATGGTCCACCCCCATCCATCTCAAAGCACTAGGTGGGGGTGACCCCGGGACGAACGACCCACGCCCTGAGCATGAGCGTGGGCGGGCCGAGCCAACTGGGACCCGCAGTGGGGTCGACCAAGGTTCGAAAGTCTACTGGGGCTTTGCCCTACACCGGTAGTTACCTATGGCCGTGACATTGAGGGATTGCAGCAGAAGAAACACTCAAGTAGCGGGTAGGCCGGTACCGCACCCTGAAGGGGTAGACGTGCGGGTACTGGAGGCCGAGGAGAAGAAGACAAAAGTGGCATTTTTAGAGGCCCAGTAGTTGTAGGTTAGGTCTAGGTGGATACTAGTCCAACCAGTCTGGGTCTAGGGCCTGTATGGGCAATATCAGAGTCTGCAATGATGTTTCCCTCCGAAAAGGAGGAGGTACCGGTTGCTTGGAAGGCCGAGCGGCCTGGAAGTCGCCGCCCGAAGAGGCAAGCAGGCCGCTATATCTCCCACTCGGGCGATGAGCCCGTCCTCTTTTTCGGTGTGCAAGTTTGGCGACACACTGGTGGAGCGCAGGCTGGAGCAACTGTATGCTGGAGCAGCGCTGTCGGGGAGGAAGGAGAAGGGCACGAGGGAGGAAGAAGGAAGGAAGGGGGAGGAGCGCCAGGGTACTTACCTGGCTATGGTGGCAGCCATCTTCATCACCTTGGTGGGCACTGCGGCAGGGAGTCCCCAACTGGGGAGAGCCACACCAAGAAGCTTCGAGGCAGGGTCAGGCATGGTTGCCTGAGCTAGAGCAGCCATAGCTGCTTTGGGTTGTCCTTTGGGCATCTGGGCAAGGCCTAGTAGTCCACCATGGGCTCAGCCTATGAGAGTGAAGAGTGGGAGAGGCGGCCATGACTATGGTGGACCTCAAGTGATACCTGCAGTAGAAGAGGAACTCGGACATTGATTCTGGATCAGTCATTCAACATTGTATTATTATTTCTTGTATGAATAAGAGAAGGGGGAGATAAGGAGGAGGAGATTGTTGGGCGAAGAAGAAGAGCCTTGTCATTTATCTATGCTGGTGTACATCATCTTCTTCTTCTTTCTTACTTCTTCTTCTTCCAATCCTCTCGCTCCTCTCAAGTTTATTCATTTCTTTCTGCAATTGGGCGGCATTGTACTATCTGATGGATGTGTATCTCGAAATTGGTCATGATCATAACATTGGTATCAGAGCGAATTCTACTTGCTGGTGAGAGTTGACTTTGTTGCCCTAACCGTAACCTAAGTGGTTGAGGGCAACACTTAGGGTTAGGGTTGGTTTGTGAAGGAAAGAGGGGCAGCGTGGTTGAGGGAAGCTGCCCCCACCTGGTTAGGTCACGGAGGGGCGACGTTGAACCTAACCAGGTTGCTTGAGAGTGAGATTAGGGTGGCGAGACATTTCGAGGGGACTTCATGCGGCGATTTGAGAGGCACTCACACCTGGAATCTGATTCAAGGGAGACAATTGGCAACTTAAGGGTTGCCCTCAAGTAGGCGAGCTTGAGGGTCAGCAACCACTCAACATCTACGGACTGCAAGTTGTTACTTTGTTCTTTAGCATCGACGGGGGATCCGACGTTGCACTTGGGTGTTGGAGTCAGACCCTCCTAGGAGATAGGACACTAGTGTAGGGGTAGCGTTGGAGGGGTCAGGAGGATCACATGAGAGGGGGGTGAGTTCTATTCATCTCGAAGCTCAAGGCCACTCAGGTAAGTGTCGTGCACCTACGGGATGCCCATGTGTGTGTGCATGGTATGGTTTGTCCTCCTGGGGTTACTCTGGGTTTCGTTTCCTACTCCTCTGTGGTCTTGATTGTATGATTGAATGCATGTGATCTACCTACTCACCTGATGGATGGAATATGAAGTATCGTGATCTAAATGCCGAGTCTTTCTGCAGTGCTTTGTCTTTCATCTCTGAACAGTTGTAGTCCCAAGATCTGAACCGGCAGGTGCTGGTCCCAGCTACGCTGGTCTCCATGTGGACCGAAAGGCGGTGCAAATACCATCTAAGTACGACGGCAAAGAAGATGTTGAATTCTGGATCAACTCCATGAGGGCATACTTCGAGGTGTTGGGGACTCAGCCAGAGACCCAACCAGTGATCATGGGAATGAATGTCGAGCCGGTTGTACGGGGCTTCCTAGAAGTCCAAGCTACGAGGGCTGGGGTTCCAAAAGATCGAACTGACAAGGTGGCTTAAGGCCACCCCGGTTGCCTCCCTCGAGGAGCTCCTCATTTCCCACTATAAGGATCCACACGCTGCAGCAAGGGCAGGTAGCCAGCTTGACAAAATCAAACGCAACAAGTGGACGGGCTCCATGAAAAGCCTGCAAACCTATTTCAACAAGATGTTTGCTACACCTGGTCTTGAACTGACTGACCAATCTTGCTTGGATGTGGTCAAGGGCGCAGTCCCCACCAGTTTTACTAATCGCCTAGTCAGGGACTTCATTGGGTGTACTGACTAGTTCACTCTAATGAAGGACATAGTCAAGCGGTAGACCTCGTCACCACAACAGGCAGCAAAAAGCCCATGGGCGGCAGCCGGTTCAAAGGCAGCAGCCGTTTTGCTGTACATGACCTGCTGGAGGCTAAACAGGGGGCCAAAGCAGATGACCCCACTCTTGGTGACGACCAAGAGCAGGACGCTGATACAGCCTGTTCGTCAGCCCATGAGTCTGATGTAAATCAAGAAGAAGAAAATTTTACTGCCTTTAGAAAGACTGCCAATGCAAGGGGACCGACTCGGAATGCAGGGAAGAACTATGTCCAACTTCAAGAAGGGGGTATGCCTACATTGCCAGAAACCAAAGCATAAAGTACAAGATTGCTATAGGCTGCAGGGAAACCAGACCCGGGAGTAGAGTCGACTTCAACACACTCTACAGCAAGGGAGACTGAATCTGATGTAGATCAGCAGTCCTCCCTTGAATCCCAATCATCTGCTGAAGCCAAGGCTGAAGTGTGTGATGTGTTGTATGTCGAGCCTTGGGAGGAGTTTGGGACGGTCGACTTCCACCACCACTTGGAGCATTGGGCTGAGATTAAACAGCAGCGTGCCCAAGGGACAACGAAGCTGATCTTCTTCAAACTTCTTATAAACCACCGCTATCTCTGTGTCTTGATTGACTGTGGCGCGACGGCTAACTTTATGTCACCTCACGGGATATGTAAAGTGGGCTTGGGAATGAAGCGAGTGGCCTTGCAGAACCCTTGCCGAACCCAAGTTGACAACAAGGAAGTTGTCTCTTCTACGCATGCAGTCGAAGGTGTGCGCACTACCTTTAACAAGAACAAAACTGTCACCCACGCACTGAACTTGTACGTCCTTGACAAGTGCCCCTTCGACGTTGTCCTTGGCTTGGCCTGGCTGCAGTCCCAATGCGAATGGACCAAGTAGAAGGAGTCACTCTTCATGGTCAAAGATGCCCGATGGAACGAGCTTCCTGTCCTCTTGGATGAGAAGCATGAGTCCCCAGTGACTTTTCTAAATGCTATGAAGTTCTGCAAGAAATGGCGCAAGCACAAGGAGGATGAACAATTGTATGTTGCCTTTGTTCGTCCTACTCATGTGCCATCTACTTTTGTGGTTAATACCACTACTACCTCATCTAGTGATACTACTTCTAGTACTACTACTACTAGCACCTCTACTTCTCTACCTCCTACTATTCCAAATGATCCCACTTCAGATTCGGTTGCCTCTATTTGCAATCTGCAACCTGATCTAGGTGATCCCTTTGCTGATCCTCCACCTCCACCGGTTCCACCAAACATCCGAAACCTACTCGATCGGTTCCCAAAAGTTCTGGTCGAGCCACGTGGAGTCCCCACGTGATCGGTCCGACGCACCATCGAGTTGGTTGAGGGTGTTGTTCCTCCAAAGGTCTGCGTGTACCGAATGGGACCCGGTGAGTTGGAGGAACTCCGACGATAGATTGACGAAGTGATTGACAAAGGGTGGATCAAGCCTAGCGAATCTGAATTTGTTACTCCTGTTTTGTTTGTTCCGAAGAAAGGAGGCAAACTCCGCATGTGTATTGACTATCGAGGCCTAAACCGCATCACAACAAAGGATGCCTATCCACTACCCCGAATAGATGACTTGCTTGATGCCGCAGGTGGGTGCAAGGTCTTCTCCAAGATCGATCTCAAGTCTGGCTACCACCAGATTGAAGTCGATCCTGCGGACCAGCACAAAGCTGCGTTCAAAACACGTGATGGGCTTTACATGTTTACCGTAATGCCCTTCGGTCTCACGAACGCACCGGCCACCTTCCAAAGCCTCATGGACAAAGTCCTCCGCGAACAGATTGGCCGGTTCGTGGTGGTCTACCTCGATGACGTACTAATCTTCAGCAAGTCCATGGAGGAACACCTCAAGCACCTTGAGGAAGTACTGACCATCCTCAAGAAGATGCAACTCCATCTCAACTTAGAGAAATCTGAGTTTGGGAAGGATAGTGTCATCTATCTTGGGCACCGGTTGTCTGCTGCAGGCCTAGAGCCTGAGACAACCAAGGTGGAGGTCATACGCAACTGGCCTCAACCCGTGAATGTTCGCGAACTGCGCTCTTTTCTTGGTCTCGCGTCATACTATCGAAAGTTTGTACCCCGCTTCTCCATTGTTGCGCATCCATTGTCTCAACTGACAAGTAAGAATGTTCCCTATTCCTGGGATACCACGTGTACGAACGCCTTTCAAGCTTTGAAAGACGCCTTGGTAAGTTACTCTGTACTTCGCATTGCAGATCCCAAACTGACATTCGTAGTTACTACGGATGCAAGTCAGTATGGAATCGATGTAGTGCTCCAGCAAGATGACGGCGATGGCTTGCGGCCGCTCGAATTCTACAACAAACGCATGCCCAACGTAAAGGTAGCCACTTCCACCTCCATGCGCGAGCTTTATGCTTTGCGTATGGCTTTGAGCCATTGGAAGCACTATCTTTTGGGATGCCACTTTAAAGTGTTCTTAGATCATGACACCCTGAAGTGGATCAAGGAGCGAACTACCCTGTCCCCTACGTTAATTCGCTGGTTCCATGAAATTGACATCTTTGACTTCGAGTTGAGACACAAAAAGGGTTGTTATAATCGAGTCGCTGACGCATTGTCCAGCCACCCTGAGTACATGACTTGCCTTGTGAAATCCTACGACCTCCGGAAGAAACTAAAGGAGGAGCTCGTAGAGCATACAGCCAAGGATCCGGAACTTAGTCCCATCCTTGAACGGTTGCGGGCTGATCCTAGTAGTCAACCAGATTTTCACGAATATGGAGGACTGATTTTCTGTCGCTACGGGAACCACGACCCCTTGTGTGTGCCCAACCATGAGCTTCTCCGCACGCATTTTCTGGATTTGGCCGATGGCTGGAGCGGACACTTCGGCATGACAAAAACGTAAGCAAATCTGCTGAGACAGTTTGATTGGCATGGCATGAAAGGGACTGCTGAAAAATTTGTGGCTGAATGTCAAGTTTGTCAACGAATCAAACCATGCAGACAAAAGCCTACTCACACCCCTTCCCATTCCCGATGGTCCCGAGGAGTCCGTCTCCATTGACTTCACCGACATGGGAAAGGTAAGTAAGAACGGCTACTCACAAGTCATGGTGATTGTTGACCGATTCTCTAAGTTTCTCAATCTGATCCCTTTGCAGCCGCACGCCCCAACATAATTAGTGATTCATGAGTTCCAACAAAAGTACATTTTGCAGTTCGGGACCCCGAAGACTCTCGGAAGCGATCTTGACCCGTGCTTCATTAGTATTGAATGGAAGGACTTCACGTCTCATCTGGGGATCAGGTTGTGTATGACATCTGGACGACACCCTGAAGCCAACGGTTTGGCTGAAGAAATCAACCAGACTGTGTTCCAACTTCTCCGCGCTTTAATTATCCCGGATCAGGAAACATGGGATGAAGAGTTGTATTCCGTTAGGGGGTTGTATAACAACTCCATCCATTTTGCCACCGGCATGACACCTAACAGGCTGCATCTCGGTTGGCAGATCCGTAATCCGCTCTTCTACCTATTCCCTGAGCAGCCAGCTGGCTTAACACCCGGCAAGCCTGGCTTCAGGGCCAAGTATGATCGTTTGCTCAAGATTGCCATTGCAGACATGACCAATCTCCTAGTCTATTACGGACCGTGGGAAGTTTTGGATGTGATTGGCGAAGACCACTTTGGCCCTTCGTACGTAGTTGATGTGCCAGCCCATCTGCGCACATACCCCGTGTTCCATGCATCGAAACTGTACCTCCACCGTGATGCTACGACGTTCGACTATCGCGAAAACATGATCACTCGTGCGATCAAAGGCGGGCGTGAGATAAACGGAATCAAACAGCACGTAGGGAAGGGACGCAACAAACCGTACCAGGTTCACTTCATGTATCACCCATTAGACGATCTGTATTGGATTTCCAAACAGGAACTGCTACGTAGCGCACCGCGCGTTACCAAAGCCTACGAGCGACAAATCGCCACTAACGTTGTACCTAAGATTTCTGCAAGACTCACTGCAACAAAGTACTCTAGGAACCTCTTTGCCTTGCTTGCGTACGATGTGTTTGTCGAGGACTCAGAATGAGTTACTCGCTCGAAGGGACCTCGCTCTTGAAGGGGAGTAGTGTGATGACCCGTCCAAACATGGACTGAAACATACAGCTGTTTTCTGAGTTTTGCCCATAGACTGAATGTCCTGCTGAGTTTTCCGCTTGCTACTAAGTCTGTGTGCACGCTTGCTGGACTGCATGTCTGTCTTAGTGCTGGTTGGCTTGCGCGTGTGTGGTCGTGCCTGTCTGAGTGCTGGTTGGCTTGAGTGTGTGTGAGGTTGTGCCTGTCTGAGTGCTGGTTGGCTTGAGTGTGTGTGGCCCTCAGGAGCACTTGCTCGTTCAGTGGGCCCTCAGGGCTGGTACTTACCTGTGGCCGTGACATTGAGGGATTGCAGCAGGAAAAACACTCAAGTAGCGGGTAGGCCGGTACCGCACCCTGAAGGGGTAGATGTGCGGGTATTGGAGGCCGAGCAGAAGAAGACAAAAGTGGCATTTTTAGAGGCCCAGTAGTCTATGTTGCACGCCCGACCGCAGCCGGGGGGGGGAAATCGGCCGAGGCCTCGGCCGACGGCCAAATCGGCCAGGTTCGGCCTCGGCCGACCAGCCAAGTTCGATGCAGGATTTTTATTTTTTTTTCTAACGCTTGAAATATATATATATATATATGGGCATGTAGGGCTAAAAAAAACCTACATGCCCATATTTTTTGGGGGGGCATTGTTGTTTTCTATTGCGGAACAAAAAAAAAAA